CTGGTTCTTGGCCTTCAACACAACCTCAACAGTTGAATTGCATACTGCACAGGTCCTATTGTATTCTTTTCCAAGGTGCGGCAAGCACTCTATGTACCCAAGGGCTCAGTGAACATCAAAAGATTTTTGGAAGGTGCCTCGCAGGCCGCACAGCCAGGTTGCATAAAGTTGTATCGTGCAGAACTTCACCTCACAGCTGTCCTTCAGGAGTTCTATGAATTATCCGGCCTTGCTGAACGAAGCGGTCCCGGCATCGATGAAATGAAGTGGCAGCCCTTTTGCAATTGAGACTTAAGACAGGCTGATGTTCTCAAAGTGAGGAAGTTGATGCTTCATTCTTGATGGTTCATTCCTTGCACTAAGTGTCCTCTCTTTTTTGTCGGCGGTGCTACCAAAAGTCCACTCGACATTTTCTTCACTTGCGGCAGCTTTGTGATCCCAGGGCCCCCAACTTTCTGCCGCACCAAAGCGCTGCGTTAGAACCAAAGATGCAAGAAACGGAAGCAACTGCAAGCACTAACAGCTTTAGACGGAAGGGTTATTTTCCTTCGGGAATGCGTTTGCTTGGGGTGAACATTGGTGAACCATGCACTGCAACGAAGAAAGACCAACAGATTTGTGCTGTCTTTTGGCACCTTGTAAGCTGTCATCAGTTCAACCAAGTTCCCATAGTCAAACAATTGCAACAGTTGGGCTCAGTGATTGCTCACAAAGGGATTTTGTTTGGCATGTTTGGAGGCTCCACAGGGTCCAAACCGATTGGATATATTATATATATTGTGTTTTTGGAATGCATGTTCGGAGGCAATAGGCTCCAAAAGCGCATCGTCCGATATGGGTAGTCGTTCCAGAAGCAGCGAAGTGACCCCAATACACAGATGGTTGGCAAAAATGTCGCATCGTTCCGACGGCGGGGAGTTTCACAAACCTGCACGAACTACTCAACAATTTGTCATTGCTTGTTTCATGGGGTCTCGGGAATGTAGGCAGCAAACGCTGAAGCTGAAAATCTATCAACGAACACTCGTCCAGTATGGAAGGGTCCAAGTTCCAAGAAGAAAGATCGCTTTACTCGAGTTTTGCAGAACTTCAGCGTCCACAATGTGCAAGATGGCTGACGGGTACACAGACTGGAAAGAACTTTATCTGAGGCTGGTGACCTCAAGCCCTGCCAGAGAAACGGAGCGGTGCTGGAATTGGAAGCATGAGACGCTGGACATTGCTGGAACGTTGGCCGCACGTGGTTGGAGTTACAATGGCTACCCTGTCTCAGCCGACTACTTCGGTTCATATTCGTGGCCAAGCTGCAGTGATTGGCGGCTTCGAAAGGAAGACCATCAGAGGAAGTAAAACTGCAAACACCTAGACTGTTCGAAGACTTTGGACATTGACATTTGACATCTTTGGCAGACTGTTTCTGAGGCTAGACGGGCTGGCCGGTGCCCTGTGGGCGGTCTATCACTCAAGGCGGGAAACGGTAGCTGTGATCGGTGGCTGTGCTTTGTGTTTTTGGTCGGGGTTCAAGGTCATTTGATGAAGCGGTGGTCAGAGCGGTCAATCTCAATGGGGATGCCGACAGCTTCGGATCAATGGCAGGTTGCCGCCGTTGAATGTGAAGCATTGTGAAGCAACCCGTTTTTTGCAGAACTCTGGCTGGTGCCAAAGTAAGTAAGGCTAAGCCCAGCGTTTGAGGGTTGGAGAGTGCATTTTCATGCAGTACCCTGAGGGTTTTGAACCTTGTTCAGTTAATTAACGTGATGTCCATGTGCAGGCCAGATTGCAGGAGCTTTCTATGGGTTTTCTGCCATTAATAAACAATTTGTCGAGTGGCTTTCGAGGCAGGAAGTTTAGCTCGGGACTTTCTTCTTGAAATGCGCTTTCTTAAACATGACCTTTTCTGAGACGGGTCCTCCATATAATCCAAAAGATGCAGTGAGAATGTGCTTCACTGGTTAGGTGGGATGATCATGAGACAGCAGTTCGTGCCCTGTTGCTGTTCAAGATCGGCGCGGATGTTGAAAAGACCCGCGGACGTGATGAATGAGCAGCCAGCCTGCACACAAAAAGGTTGGTTCGCTCATGTTTGCGGTGATGACCCTGCTGCTTTCCACAGCTTTGCACCTGCACCTGAGATTGCTGTCCGCTGTCCTCGAGAAACTCTTTTTCTCGCATTTGCAAAATAGTATATGCATATGGGCGCATGGCATAGACACAAACAATATACACATGTAGAAATCTTTTGTGAGTCACCTCTACTGTAGCGTTTTCGCAACAATATATACATATACATATAGACATATATACATACGTAGAGTTCTAACTTTGGTCATCTCTTGCGTAGCCTCAGGAATACCACCTTTTCTGTAAATAACACACACGCAATCCTACGCATACACATACACATCGCAGAGACAGCTGCTTGAGTCTCGAGGAACCCGTGAAACCTTTTACTGTACGCACTGTGATGGTCGCGGCTGCTCTTGCCAATCCAATTCGGAGCGTGACAGGCTTGCTGTTTCTGGGCTCCTGGCCGTTTTGCGTGTTTGACTTTGCAGGTGCTCTTTTCGGCCGCAGAGGACCAGAGCACATTGAAATCAAGTTCCCAACTTAGCTGCAACCCGACAAGATGCAGCACAAGTCCACGTACGGACCATTCCAGGTATGGCCAACGTATCCAATAATGTCACAATTCTGATTGTATTCTGTCAAGCCAAGTCTATTTTTTGGGGGCCAGCCGAAGGCTGAGAGCCTGTATTGCGAACGAAGATTAGGGGGTGGGGAGTGGAAGGGTGAACCCAGAGCCCGAACAAATTGCGTAGCCAAAATATACCACTGCGACCGCCTTGGTGATGCGAGTGATGCTGCTACAACAGGCCATTGTAAGAATTTTTTGGGGGGGAGTGCTGTGGCAAATTTGTCGGCTCGAGCACGACAAAACACATTGTCATTTACAGTGTGTTGATCTTTGTTGGCCATGCAGGAAAGAGGCCAAAGCAACTTAGATTGCGATGTTTTCGCAGGGTGAGGTGGTTGACGAGTGCGTGAATATATCTATCTATCTATCTATTCTATTCTAATCTGATCTAATCTAATCCAATCTAATCTAATCTAATCTAATCCAATCTAATCTAATCTAATCCAATCTAATCTAATCCAATCGAATCTAATCTAATCTAATCCTATCCTATCTATCTATCTAGTGGTGTTTTGCGGGGCTTGGGCTTGATGAAAAATGCGTAACATACGGTGTTTTTAGATTTGAGATGAAGTGCCAATGCAGGTGTCGAAAGACATTGTGATTTTAAAGGACCCAGATGCAGAGAGTCGAAGTTTCAATGTTTGTTACCCTTTTGTGCTTTGTTTGAAGGCCGCCTTGCCGCCTCGGGGAAAAAAGGGGTATCTCTGGAAATGGGCAAAACAGGACACGGCAGATGCATCTTGGATCATCTTAAATGAATCTTGCGAATGAAGTGGGTATTATCAGGGGGTTTGTTCTGGTGTGTTTCAGACTCTCACATCGCTTGTTGGAGCTTCTTGAGTCTGCGAGGACTGGCTTTTGCTCCCTCGTTTCTCAGATTTTGCCTGCCCTGCTTCTTGAGTAAAGTCAAGAGTGTGTTTATGAGAGGGGAGCCTGGGACCCCGTTATGAAGAGTTGAATGCTGTCAGAGACACAGGCTGAGATGGTCGGGAATTGTTCCCCGCTCGAGGCTTGTGTGGTTGTGCCGCTCGAAACAACAACACGCACAGGCTCAAGCATTTAGGACTCTTTAGGGCATGGATGACACGCTGTGAAATCACGAAGCTTTAGATGAGTGGAGGGCATAGGGAAGACATTAGCCAATGTTCTTGACCCCACCCATATTTTGGGGTCCTGGTTTTCCAGTTGAGTCACTGACCAGCCTGCGGCAAGATGGTGTGCCAGATGGTGCCCGACCCTAGAGGTTGGTTGGAAGTCCACTTCTTTGGCCTTGGTGGTGGTGACTTTTGCTTGAGCGTGCCTGATGACATTTTGGGCGGCGACTTGTTGCAAGCTGTGCGTGATCATCTCCCAAGAAAGCCGGGGGCAATCCTGTCCTTGTTCTTCAATGATGCCAAGCTTTCGATGTCCAAGACACTGAAGGAGCAATGCATGCAAGAGTCCCCGTCTGTGCACTATGTGTATTTGCATCGGAATGCGTGATAACCTCAGTTTCGTAGTCGATAAGACAATTGTGACAAAGCATGCGCTACATGCACATATCAACGAATAGATTGCCCCCCAAAATTGGTTTCTTGACTCAGGTTGGATGCATGGAAGCAGCTCAATGGACTGCAAGTGGAATCTGAGCATGCCCTTGATGGCATGATCCAATTGGGCCTAGAAGGAGGGGTGATCCAAAACCTGGAGCAGATGAACTTTCCCAGCAGCCTTGAGGTTCTCACATTTGGAGAGAACTTTGACCAGAGCCTCGAACGTGCACGGTTTCCAAGCGATTTGCTGAGCCTAACCTTCCAACCTTTTTTCAACAGAAGCTTGGAATGTGTGAATTTCCCAAGTGGTCTGAAAAGCCTGACCTTTGGATGGCTTTTCAACCAAAGCCTGGAGGGTGTTAGCCTTCCAAGCAGCCTGCAATCCTTGACCTTTGGCGGATTCTTCAACCAGAGTTTGGACAATGTAAACCTGCCGAGTGGTTTACTGCATCTTGCATTTGGAGAGACCTTTGACAGGAGTTTGGACTCGACCAAACTCCCGAAAGGCCTTCGTAGCCTCACCTTCGGCAGGAGCGAAGAATGTGGAGTTGTGATGTGTTTCCGCCAGACCGAGTGTTCTTTGGGGTGCCGGAGATATTTTTCCAACGTTTGTCTTCAGTGACACGGTTAATTATACAGAGAGAGAGGGGACAAGGGACCATTTTTTCTTGATGGTCGAGTAGGCCAATCGCATCAATCTACGAATGCGTTTTGACCATTTGCATCATTTGCAGGAGCTTTAATCAGAGCTTGGATCGCGCGGATCTTCCATGTGGTTTGCAGGACTTATCTTTTGGGTTTCACTTCGACCAGGGCTTGGAGCATGCAAAGTTTCCTCAAGGCTTGTTGAGCCTGACTTTTGGGAGTCGCTTCAATCAAAGCTTGGAGCGAGTGAGACTTCCAGAGGCTTGGAGACTTTGACATTCGGTTGGCGGTTCAATCAGAGCTTGGAGCTTGTGAACCTGCCTTGCAACCTACGGACCTTGACCTTTGGAGAGAATTTCAATGAAAGTCTGGAGAAGGTGCAATTTCCAATGAATCTGCAATCCCTCGTTTTTGGCGAGAGCTTTAATCAAGAGATGGAGAATGTCAAGCTCCCGGAGTTGACCAGCTTGAAGTTTGGACGTGATTTCAATCAGAGCCTGGAAGGCATAAATCTTCCAAACAGCATCCAGGCCCTGATTTTTGGAAAAGACTTCAACCGAAGCTTGGAACATGTGAATCTTCCAAGCGCTCTCCAAACATTAGTTTTTGGAAGAAGCTTTGACCAGAGTTTCGAGAAGGTCAATTTGCCCACTGGCTTGCAGAACTTGGCCTTTGGTCTTGACTTCAATCAGAATCTAGAGAAAGTGATGTTCCCAAGCACCTTGCACAGCCTGGCGTTTGGAAGTCGCTTCAATCATAGTTTAGAAAGTGTCAAGCTTCCCTGCAGCTTAAAATGTTTGGCGTTCGAAAGCTTCAGCTTCTTCAATCGTGCCTTGGAGCGGGCAACACTTCCCGATGGCATTGAATCGCTGACGTTTGGAGGGTATTTCAACCAGAGTTTGGGGCGAGTGAGCCTGCCAAGCAGCCCAAAGAGCTCTCCCACAAGCACTGGAAATGATCGTGTGGATTTGCCAAGCGGCTTGCGATCCTTGACCTTTGGTGAGTTCTTCGACCAGAGTTTGGATAATGTAAATCTACCCAGCAGCCTTCAGGCGTTGACTTTTGGAAGTGCCTTCAACCAAAGCTTGGAGAATGTGAACTTACCAAGGGCTCTCCAGAGCATGGTCTTTGGAAACAGCTTCAATCAAAGCCTGAACCATGTAAATCTTCCAGATGGCCTGGAACACTTGGCCTTCGGCAGTGACTTCAATCACAGCTTGGAGAACGTGCTCCCATCCTCTTTGGTAAGCCTTTCTTTGGGAAGCCGCTTTAACCAGAGCTTCGAGAACATCCACTTGCCCAACCTGCTGTGGTTGGACTGTGGTGGTGTACTGGTGAGCTTCATGTAGTCTTCAGATGGAGGCTTTATTCATATTCATACTTGCTTTTTCCCTGGCTTGCTCAGTGTCAGGCTCAAGGCTTCTGGCAGATTGGCCAGCCAGTCCTTGCAGGAAGGAAGCTCTGTCCCCTTGTAAAAGGATGCATATCTATCACTTGCTTTTATATAGTGAATATGGTGCTCTTTATGCCTGCCTGCAGCCTGGAATGCCAAGCAGAAGGACGGCGGGTCAATCGATCCGCCAGATTGTGTCCTTCCTTCGCTTTTGTGGCATTTTTGCCCTGACCTCCTCGCGCTTTGACGAGCCTCTTACCATCGTAAGAGGCTTCGGAGGTCCCATGAGAGCTTGGAAGATTGGAAAGACCGTCCGCCGAAGGGATGTTGTTTTATATTGTTTTTGTAAACCCTTTCAACCACTTACACACCTGCTTCAAAAAATTGCACATGTTCCATCCATGACGTGACAGCATACTGAGGTGGATGTTTGCCGCGGTGGTGTTTCAACGTCTGGAGACTATTCTGCGGCGTGCAGACCTGACCAAGCATGCTTGCGGCAGCATGCAATTCCTTCCAAGCAGTGTCAGTGTCTTCTCACCAAGGCCCAAGACCCCAAGGCTTTGTATCAAGGAACTTTTGAAGAGCTGATTGCCAGACACAGTGGCCACTTGATTGGAGGCTCGGCTCGGTGAGTCTTTCTTCTCCAACCTAGCCTACACTGACTCTTCAGTGTCCTGTTGCATCTCACACAAGCACACACTGCAAGATTTGACCAAAACTTCCTGAGTCTTCTTTTCTAAATCCTTCTTTATCCACACAACTACAAAAAGGTCCAAAGACAGCGGCTGAACGGAAATGATCTGAAAGTTAATGTTGGTATGTTGCACACTTAATTTGCACATGCACGAATCAAAGTACATGCGCACATGCAGGCAAGGCTCCAAACAGGGGAAGATTGGAGAGTTGTCATGGAAGTCATGATTTTATCCACATCTATACACAACAGATCTTTAAAAGTGGTATCATGTTGATCGTCTAGCACGTGCGTGCAAGACGCTTGAAGCCAGCAAATTATTGTAAATGCCCTTGCTCAAGAACTGGCTTGCGAAGCAGGTTCAGCAGTTAAAAGGTAGCGGAACTGATACGCTTGTTGAGAAACATGAGCAGTTTAAATGCACCGAAGATGGCGATCATTTGCCGAACCTAGGGGTGGACCGGTGATCCGAGTGCTACAGTTCAACATTTTGGCGGATTCCTTGGCAGACGGTGCCACCATACAGGAAAAGACATTGCCAGCGCCACATTTATGTGATGTTGGAGCTGCAGGCTGCCATTACCACTTTCACGCTGAAACCCCTTGCCACACCTTTCGGACGTTGAAGCCACATTTGGATTGGGAACTTAGAAGAGCTCAGATTGTAGATATTTTGCGGAACGCCAATGCCGATCTGATTTGCTTGCAGGAAGTCGACTGCTTTAATGACTTGAAAGCTGCCCTCGAGCCGGTGGGGTTTCAGGGTCGTTTCTGCAAAAAAGCCTGGAGGAAGATCAAGGACGGGAGTGCAGTGTTCTGGCGCGAGGAGGTGCTATGGCTGGAGGATTGGAAGGCGCTGCAGATCTTGCCAGGGAGTGCTATGACTGCGCTGCTGCTGCGCTTCGTCACTCGAGATGGTAAGCGATTGGTGGTTTGTGCCACTCATTTAAAGGCAGGCTTCTCGGCTGCGATGGAAGAACACCGATTGGCACAAGTGCTCGAGCTTCAAAAACTCATACACAGGTTTTCCGGCGAATCCGCTGCAATTGTGATCGCAGCTGATCTAAACGCCCATTGTAGATCCTATGCTCTTTGCACTCCGCTCACTTGCTGTGATCCTGCGGCATTGGTTGAACCCAAAGCAGTTTGTGCCCTATTGGATGGAGGATTCCAAAGCGCCTACGCAGAGTTTCCCTCCTTCACAGCATGGTCTGGATGGTTGAATCGAGATGTCAAAGCAAATCTGGATTACATCCTGTACAAAGGCCCGGTGCAGCCTTTAGGCGTCTTGGAGGGACCAGAGGAGGAGTCTGTTAGCGCTTATAGTGAACTGCTCCCCAACCAAAGCTGGCCGTCGGATCATATCCACCTGGTTGCTGACCTGGAACTCTTGTAGTTGACCGTGCCATGAAGCTTGTTTGGTATTTTGATTTGGTTTGCCGATGAAGTGGGTGCTTGATCAGATGTTTTCAGATAAAAAGGTGATCGCAGAGCATCCAACGCGCAAAATCAAGCCAAGTCGGAGAACGGAATTTGTGGCACGATGTCGCACATGTCAAACTGAGTGAACCCTGGCGTAAACAGTCGTAAACTATCCTAGCAATCCACGGCTTGGTTGCAGATGCTCAGTTATATAGTTGTCGTTTAATTTGTGTTTGTGTAATTTTCATACATGTTCGTTTTCGCAAGGTACCACAACGTTATTTCTACAAAGAATTCTGATTTTTTAAAATCGCAGTGCTCGATCCGAAACGAGCATTATCTAATTTGTAAGTTGCAATAGAACCCGTTGATGCCCATCGGTTGGACCTCCACTTGTAAAACACCGGGCACCATCTTGCGAGAAGAGATGCCCAGCTCGCAGGTATCACTTGGATGGCACCTCCAAATCCATAGAACTTGGAAATCAATCATGGCAGCATGCCGAGGGGGGGGGCGGGACGGTGCAACAATTCACAGGTGTATCAAGTTTACATTTTCGTGACAAAACAAAATTTGTATGATTATCACTGGCTCCAAACGCTTGTGAATTTGCAGCGTGGTCGGACTTGCGCCTTTGTCAGGCTGTTCTTGCCTTTCGCCTTTAACAGAATTCGTTTCAACCGACGCATGGAACATTCCTTTTGGTTCAGGTTTGCAATGTCGTTCTACGACGTGTCCATCAGCTTGCCTGCCAAGGCTGGTGTTGTGCACTTTGTTGAACAACTGTCGATGTTTGGTGCCTGAGGTGCGAGGCCCAGAAGCTGAAGAAGAGTGGCAAGAGGCCCACCAGTATCGCCAGTATGCGAAGTATATCATGAAATGGGATGAGCTGCTGGATCAATGACTCTAGCATGTTCATTTGTTTTCCCACACGTTTTCCACATTTTTTGCATAGGTTCCAAAGGGTTCAAGTTTCAAACTCTTTGATCATCCAATCCCAAAGGTGGACTGGGTGACGTGGAGCACCGGATCTGTGACAGTTGAGCCAGAGTTCGACACTTACTTAGTCAGTGCAAATTTGTTTGGGTTCAAAAGTGCACTGGATTTCCAATCGTTTGCCGAGGTCGTTTCTCATACTCTTCAAACCCGTGGGAGGTGGCAATGTCAAGGCAGATGGAGCACATGGAGCAACCGCACTTTGTCCGTGGTTTTTGCATGTCAGGCCAAAACCTTAGGCAACTTGGTCCGGGCTTCCAGCGTCGGTTGCCCAGAAGAACCGCCATGAAACAACGGATTCTTGAAGTTTTGCAAAACAAAATTAACAGTTTTTGAGTGTTTATGACTCTTTGCTTGGAGGTTGTGCATGAAGGCCAAGACGTGAAGACACTGATTGTCACAACTTCTGAGTGACTTGGTGTCAAAAGGGTTCCCTGCAAAAGACCTGGTGCAACGTGTGATTTGTGTGATCGTTTTGACATTTGTTTTTTGCGTTTTAGGTTTGACAATTTGACCCTGTCTGACATGTTCTGAGGTCGCTGCACAAGACGCCAAAGTCTTGGAGTTGAATATTTGCTGATGTTTTTGCACGATGTTTCCAATCAAACCGCTTTTCAAAGCGTGAAGTGGGCTAATTGCTCAGACTTGAGGTTTCGGCTGACTTTCTCGTGACGATCTTACAAACTAACACTTCAACATGGATATATACCCTTTGTGTTGCCAACTAGGTCTGGGGCAGACACCACGGAGTTCTTGGACTTGGCCTGCCAAGCAGAGCGAGCACGAGTCTCACAACTTGTCAACACACCAAGCCATTAGTGTTGGAGAGAATTATACGTACGTTGAATTTTTTGATAGAGTTTATGACTTTGTGAACTCTTGCCTCATGGATTAGTTGTTTCACAATTCTTTTGCTTTTGCATGCTCACCCTCCTTTGCAGTCCTGGAAGCTTCTCTTTGCTCGCCTTCTTTTTTCCACTGAAGGCTCATGAGGCTGCCAGCAAGCTTCAGGATACTGGAAGCTACAAACATGCGCACCACATCTATACATTGAATTGTGCATATTGTCATAATTAATTTTTAATTTTTTTCGCAGGTCTTTCTTAGAGTATGTATGCATGCATGCATGCATGCTGCACACCACCTTCCAGGATACATGTGGTGTCGATTCTTCAGCTGAAGCCGCCAGGTGAAACAGTGTGAGCCAATGGTTTGGCAATGTGAGTGTTGTGAGCTGTGTGCACTTGAGATGCGGGCACTGTGTCGGCCTGCAGGTTGGAGTTGCAAATCCGGACGAGGTTGGCCAATCGTTGGCCCTTGGTCTTCACAGGTACAGCACCTTGAGTTCTCTTTGTTGGCACGGACAGGTTTCCTTTGAAGTTTCAGAGGTTACACGAAAGCCTTTGTTGGTCTCTGGAGTTTGGCTAGGTGCAGAACTCTATGGACCAGATCCAAATAGTGAAGTCAGCACGGAGGCACGTGCGGTGCACCGACTCTTGATGCTGTTGCCTGACGAGCGCCAGGTTTTGCTGGGCCGTGGTGCTGATGCTTGACAAACAATTAGAGATTTGAATAGATTTGAGCACTCCGAAGAAAGTGAACACAAACAGGGTCTTGCAATGGACTAACTTGATAAGGGATGTGAGATACTGCGGAGTGAAAACAAGTCAAGAGTTGGACATGGGATCTGAAACCAAAGCTTTAAAACAAGCACGAACAAAGCCTGCAAAACGACATACTCACCAAATTCTCCTGTCTCTGCCTACTCATCAACTATTTTTGACGGCCCCTCATGTAAGACAGCTCGCATCGCATGCACTCACTTGTCGTGCTAAGTTGGTGCTTCTGGATCCTCCTGAGACAGCGAACAAGGCTGGAGATTGAACCTGAGAATCACACAAATGAACAGAATGGTAATTTTTGCTTTGAAGTCTAGCCTTGCACTTTGCTCGGTTGCTTGATTTTTTAAAAATCAGTTTTAGCCGTTCCTGGGCAAGTGATTTTCTGTTGGGCAACTCGCGGTGAGGCTTGTCACAACGGACTTTGTATGCCCTTTCCCAATCCCTGCAAGCCCCAATACTTCGCGCCACACACACACACCATGCACATTTTGTGCCAAACCCTGCTGCTATGAGGCCTTGCTTCAGCCATCCAGGAAACAGCTCCAAATCCATACATTGCTAAAGCCAAACATCGACTTAATTCCCGAGAGCCCTGGACACACCGGCGACGTTCTCAAGGACGCAACAAGCTGCACTAGAGTCACTCAAGCCAAACAAGGTTGTGTGGACTCAGTTGTGTTTTGCTGTGGTAAGGTCACTACAAAGTGTTGAAGATATATAGTAGATAACTCAGGATTCTCAAGTGCCTGGAATTTGAGTCCATTGCTGCCTGTTGGCCAAGCCAGTACTTGCACATCTCCTACAGGGCTGGTCCCACGATCTCCTGCAAATGTAGATCAACAAGGCAACACAAACACCTCTATGTCCGCAATTGCTTGGTGCCGATGCTACCTGAATAGTTGAACGAAAGCTGAACGAGAAAGCTGACACGGATTGTTCATTGCATCAGGTTGGTAGTTACGAGCTTTTGTTCTACTGTGAGGACGAGGAGCAGCGAACAGTTACTGAAGCCTCTCTTTAATTGTTCTTTAGCTGGAAATGTGCAATTGTTTCCCTTGAGTTTGGAGCAAGCCTACGGGGGCTAGCTTCCAAAGTAATAAGCTTGGTGTGATATTCCTTGTTTTGCTTTCTTTACTTTTGAATCCTTTTGACCCTGTTTTCCAAGTTAGGCGGGCCAAGCTAGCAGCTCGCAAGATCGGTATTTTGCACCATATCCGGGTCAAGCAACCCGGTAGGCTTCCTTTCGGCAGTTTCCATCAAGACAACGGAAGCATGGAAGACTAAAGCTCAAGCCATGATTTGACTCGTGAGGAGCTGCACTAAACGAGAGTGATCTTATCCCACATAAGTTGGCGACGAGATGAACTATGTTACGTGAGTGTTTGATCACACTTATATAGAGTGCATCCCCTCTACGGTGAAAAAAAGAGACACACCCCACTTCTTTCCACTTCCAGAGCGCAATGTGCAACAAGCTGCTGACACTGCTTGGTCATCCAGGACCCAGTGACCCGGCTGAGAAACACTCATGGAGCTTGCTTTGAAAATGGACTTAGAGAGAGAGAGAGAGAGGGAGAGAGACGGACAGACGGACAGACGGACCGACGGACCGACGGACCGACGGACCGACGGACGGACGGACGGACGGACGGACCGACCGACAGACAGACAGACAGACAGACAGTACCGAGAGTAACAAGCAAGAGGGCGCTCTAGGCGCTTCGGGCACTTGGCAACTGTTCAGAACCCTTTGCTGTATCATTTGAGGTCCAGCTGATGCACTTTCAACAAGCTTCTTTTGGTCAGCGCACCTTGGACGATTTGCATGGTATGGCATGGTGAAATGATCCCAATCAAGTGGAATTGACATGAAAAAGTGTTGCAACATTGTGTGACAACGTTTGGGTTCAAGGCCGAGTAATTGAAATGTGTGCCTGCTTCAGGAAAGGAACCATTCGTGGCAGGCCAAGCATTCTGTTTGCCAATCTTCCACCACGGTCGTCAATGTCGCGAACAGGCCTGACATGACATACAAAGCTTGGGCTCAAGAAGCTAAGAGCTCAGGGTGCAACATTCACCGGAATCAGACATTGTTGAGAAGGTGCATTGTTTGGACAGGTGCCTAAATTGAACTGACTTGCAAAGTCTTTTTGAGACTGACTCCTGACTCACCTTGACTCAGGCAGCAGATGCAGCATCTGAGGCCATGAAGACGGCAAGCAGCAGCCTCAGCACAAGCCGTGGTCGTGCCAAGCGCAGCATAAATTTCAAACATGCTGAGCTATTTGAATTCGAGGGGCAGCTGAGTTTGCAGCAGGGCAGGCATCAGATTTTGAGAGTTCCTTGCATTTTTGGCACATTGCTGTGATTTTGATCATTCTTGTTGAAGCCCATTTTTGTGACTCTGGCTACAAATGGATGGACGGACCCTGTCCTCAGGCAAGACGCTACAAGTACTATACGAAATCTGCAAGAGAAGCAGCTCAGAATGCGTCCGCATCCCAGCCGTTACACTCGGTTATACATATGATATATATATATACTAAAATATATATATATATATATACAATATATATATATACATACACCTGCAAATCAACCATCCTGTGCACTACACGTCTCTCAGGAAAAAACACAAAAGTCATTTGAAATGCGCGTTTTGGGATTGTAGCAATTTTGGCAGTATTAGGTTGCATTTTCCCACTTCCAAAGCCTGTCGTACGGTCACAAATGAGAACATGCAGCTATGTCAGGAGTAGTGTGGGTCGAATTGTGTGTCCATCCCAGAGGAATGGCGTCCGCTGCTCCCTGAAGAGATTTAGAGCTTGTCAAACCGGCAGAGCTTCATTTTGTTGAAGAAAAGCCCGCGTGACAAGTTTGTTCTACCCGGAAATTTCCGTCGAGTACACGTCTTTACCCGTCCAATACATGTCTTTTCCCGTCCACTGTTCCTAGGAACGAACCTTCTCCTGGTAGCTTGTTTAGTCTCCCTTAAGTAGGAGCGGCCTTTAAACAATCTTTGGAGTTGGGATCCTTTTGTTTTTTCCTTTGTTCCAGTCGAACATGTTTTCCTTTCTGTGACTCAATGTCTTGGCGCGACCGGGCCGCCTCGCAGGCTTAAAGAGCTGGAGGGTCATCTCGCAAAGGAACGAGCCAGTCTCCTAGTCACTAGTCACTTCTTCGACATCAAACCGTTTGCCCTGTAGTTTTTTTATCGTTTTTCTATGGTTTCTCCATTTTAGAGCAACACAAAAAAGATACCTGAAGACACCTAAAGCAGACAGCGGACTATCTTCACAAATGACAGCTGAGGTCGACCCAGCAAAGATGCACATCTATGTTTCACAGTATCCAGAGTGGATGTTGGTTTGGGACTCATTCAAGTCTGTTTTGCGCGGGCTCTGGCTTTGACGAGTTTTTTGGATAGATTTGCCAGCCCAGGTGCTTCTTTCTGTATGTTGCAAGGCGGGAATCAATCCTGATATGACCTATAATGTTACTCATTCGCATCCCTCCTCATCGTCATTCAATTCCTTGACGAATTGATGCAAGCTTGAGAACCTTGGTTTTTGGTGGTCTTTATGCGGCAAGCCTTCTGCACCATTCAGGGTCCCTCACCTTTCAAAGCTCAACTTTGTGCCAGATCTCTTCCACATCAAGATCACCAGACTTTCTGTAGCTGTGAGACCAACAAAGGGCTTTGCGCGCAAGTCAACTGTACATAGTGACCACACCAAAACCTGAGAACAAAAATGCGCGCAGAAGTCCCGCTTTTTGGAGGTCAGCCTGCATTTGACACTGGCGTCCTCTTTAATGCTCAGGGTTCTTTGTGCATTCTTGAAATGCAGCATTTCAAGTGGCTCAGCTTAGACAATCAAGTCCTGAACATCATCAGAAGTCCATTTTACACAGTTGTATCGTTCGACATTGTTCTTTGTAATTCTACAAATCAACAAACAAGTCATCCGCAATGTCGAGCCCAGCTCGCTCAGCTGTCAGATCTGCCAAGGTGTTTTTGCACGAAAGCTTTGGACTTTCCTTTTGGATCTTTTGGGTTCTCACTTGTGATTTTCCTTCGCAGTTTGTTGTGCGACACATGCATGAAGGCTCGACTACCAGCTGGCAAATCAACATCTCCGAAGAAGAAACCCTTCCACTTTAAGCTGGGTGGTGGTGGCGGCGACGAGTCTCAGCAGTTGTTTGGCCTGGCTTTGATTGTCATTTGCTTGAACCCTTACTGTAAATGTCACTTATATTAGATGTTGTAGCGATGTTGTAGCTGCAATCTCGGCATGCGTTCATGACCACTGACCCTATGTTTCCCGACGCCATAGGGCCCTTGAGCTGCGCCAAAAGGGTCGCGCGTCCCCTTTGATCCCATGGTGTGTGCATCCACCTCTTTATCCTTCAGGGTTTGGGGAACCAGGCTCCACGTATCCCGCAACTGAAGGGATTCATTTGCATTGGTAGCGTGCAGCTACACCGGTCCTTCGTGCTTCGCATTCGACCTGGACCAAATGGCCACACTCGATGAGATGGATGAAATGGGGTTCACCGAGTCCTGCGAGGACGAGCTCCATGAGGACGCCGAGGAGGAGTACTGGCAGGAGGGTGAAGAGGAAGAAGCCCTTGAAGAGTCCTATGAGCCGGAAGAGCCCAAGGCCAAGGACGAGATGGATGGCGGCTTGACCTCGAGCTCGCCTCCACCGGCTTCGCCTACGCCTCCCGTGAGCCGCTTGGGCAGAAACGGACCGAGGTCGGCTACCCCTTCGCTGGCTGGTGATTCACATGCAGGCGATGACCGCCGCGATCCCGGAAGCCCATCGAAGACCGAAGACCACCTCCAAGAGCCCCTCAAAGGATTCAGGAGAATCCAGGTCCCAAAAGCGACCACGTGGAAACCTTCCACCAGCTCCGGTCTTCAACGGCGACCGTAAGACCAATCCCAAGTGCTTCAAGATCTGGATTGGCAAGGTCGACTCCTACGTTGAGATCGCCCGCAAGATCATCGACGAGGGCGAGATTGGTTTGCGCTTGCGCGCGGCGCTGGAGGGCAAGGCCGCAGAGTACCTCGAGGACGCGCCCGCCAAGACCTTCGGTGGTGTTGATGGATGGCGCATCCTCATGAGGGTCCTCCAGGAGAAGTTCGACGAGCCGCAGGCGGAAGCGCCATGAAGTCCTTCTTCAAGATGCAGCTTGGCGCCGGGAACCACACCCTTCGCGAGGCCGCCGACCTTCTGGACAAGGCTCATCGCGATTGTCGCGATACAGGCCTCGACGTGCCCGATGCCGTCGTCATCTACTGGTACTTCGAGCACACCGGTCTCAGCCAGGAGCGCCAGGCGAACCTTCTGCTTCGCACTAATGGCGAGGACAACTGGCGCAAGCTGAAGCAGGCCATCGACGTCCTCTACCCCAACACGTTGGTCTCCAAGGGCTACACACCATCGAGGAGCCAAGGTAAGGGTCGAGGTGCGCGCGAAGTTCATGCTGAGTCAACTGAACCCAGTTGGCCAAGTTGGGACGCCTCGGAAGAGCAGCTTGAGGATTGGCTATGGGAGAACGACCCCATTGAGACCCTGGCCAACGCCGACCTACAACCGGGAGTTCCTGAAGAAGTTTCGCGAGAACTTCACCAATGTTTCGCCACTCACCGGGAGAACCGGCAGAAGTTGGCCAAGGCAGTCAAAGCCCGTGGCTTCTATGTGTCTGGTGGCAACGCCAGCAAGGGCAAGAAGGGTGGCAAAGGATCCAAGGGCGGCAAGTCCAAGTCCAAAGGATCCAAAGGCGGCAGCAAGGCTCGTGGCGTGTCCTTGCAAGAGCTCAAAGCCGTCGCCGCCTGTGGCGACTGTGAACAGATCGGCCACTGGAAGGGCGACCCTGAATGCCCCAGCGGAGCTCACGAGACCGCGACTCTCGCGATGGTGTTTGGGACACATGGGACTATGAGGAAGAAGGTGATGAGTTCCAGTGGGATGACACCTATAC